TAAGAATGATATTCTGCTCTTCCCTCACTTGCACTACACCCCCAAAACGACAAGTGAAGCTGCAGTGAAGTTTTGTCGTGGCTGTTTTGTCTTCTATTTCAGTCAATTTTCAACAATCTGATGGAATTATGAGCTATAAATTATAGACAAATTGCACACTGAGTTATTTCTTTTTGGTCAAATTTTAGCAATACAAATTAGAATCATTTTTTACGTGAGTTACGGTTGGGAATGTCTTGCATTTGATTCTATCATTGTCTCAACCAAGTGATTCATTAGCAACATTATTGTAATACTTTGACAACACTAATCTCCTCTAGATGATTAATTCTCTGTTTCTGTGTTAATCAGTATGAGGTAAAAGAACAAAAGGCTCTCTGGACAGACTCAAGCTACTACCCAGAGCTGGTAGTGGACACCAGGTCTTGCAGCTCTGCAGTCAGTGAAGTACAGATACCTTTCAATATTTCTCCACAAGGAGCAAGTGCTGGAAATTCCAGAAAACTGAGCAGACTATGGAATCATTCTCCTATGTTTAGAGGGAAAGCACAATACTAGAGAATGAAAATCTACATTTAAGAAGAGAAAATCAGGTATTGCACTGATAAAATGGGGCATAAAAACAAATGAAGACCATACAAGGACACTGTTAAAATATATCACAAGCCAGGTACAGAACAGTATCGATTCTGTATGTGTATAACAATACATTAACGCATTTAAATGAATCGATTTCATTCTTAAATGTGCACTTATACATCATGTATTCAAAATTTGTCACCGGCATCACAAAGCAAGTCACTGTCATGCTTCTGCTGATGTCACAGAATCTATTATATCATCAAGCTGCACTAAATTCCAAAGAAAATCCATCCAACACAGTCAGTGCTGGTATCTTGCTGTGGTGACACAATGCCAGGAGATTTCTGCTGCTGGCCAAACTGCCTAAAACCAAATGGCCGCAAAGAGAGAAAGAAGAAGAAGAAAAGAGAGAAACAGAAAGACTGTAATGAAAGTCCTGCAAGGTCTGACCAACATGAACAGACCGTGAATTTCAGTGAGAGAGATAAAGCAAATGAGGAAGCCAGCCAGAAACATCAGCTGAAGGAGGACACTCTTTAGCACATTGGACTGATTACAGACACTGTGAAGACAGAGGAAGAGACAAAAGACACAATCACATCAGACACATTGACAATGAATAGAGAGCAGATTATGATGAATGAAGAAGTGAAAATGGAAGAGAGAGGAACGGCCACTCAGATTGAGGACAATAAAGATGTAACACCAACCCTAGACCAAAAAGTGGAAGAAAATCTCACCATGAACGATGAAATGAAACACCATCACTTCAAACAACATGAACAGCTGAATGTCTCAAGCAGCATAAAGGAGGAAGGAAAGAGAAAACACATAGAGGACAAAGACAAAGGAAAAGGTAACAGAGCGCCTGAAGTTCAGGAAGAGACAGAAGAAGCAGAAAAGGCAGATGGAGAGAAAGAGAGAAGCAATAGCCCTCACAGGCATGAGAGGGTGGCTGGAAGCATGATGAACACAGCTGACGAGGATGAAGGCAATGCCCCTGAAGAAATGCAGAAACTTCTGGAGACGGAGAAGAATTCCCTCATTGCAGAGAACAACATTTCATCTCAAACAGAGAGCTGTGCAGGGGAGACAAATTCTGAAACTGAAACCAAAATCAACTTTCCCAGAGCCTGGGAGCCGCTCCCTCAAAGGAAGAGACAAGCCCGTGAGACAAGACAGGAAAAACAAACAGCCAACAAAGTTGTACGACCCTCCTAGCTCTGACAGCCAGCCACTACCATCAAGAGACACAGTCTGGAGAGAAAGGAAAATCTCCTCTTCTACAAGAGTCGAGAGTCGCCCTGCTTTATATTCCCAGCCCCATCAGAGGACTGAGGATATGAGGAGAGACAGGAGGGA